AGGGTTTCTCTAATTAAAGCGCTGCTTTAATAGGTCATAGATGGAGAATTTTAAATTTATTTTAAAGCCATTTTAGTTTAATTAACCCCAGTTTTTAACCCTTCCCTCCCCAGATTATTTCCAATTAAAACCCATTAATAACCAATAATTTTAATTTTATCTCAATTTTTTTTTTGCTGTTTCTGTAATTAAAGCACTGCTTTAATAGGTCATAGATTGAGAATTTTAAGTTTATTTTAAGCAATTTTTGCTTAATTAACCCCAATTTTTAACCCTTCCCTCCCCAGATTACAGCCAGACCGCCACACAAAGGTAAACCCCACCCCCACCCCCATCCCCCCCCTCCATTCCCGCGGGAATTTTGAACCAAATTTGATTTTTATTTAATTTTTTTAAAATTTCTCTCCCCAGTTACGGCGCCTACCCCGCCCCCCCCAGCCAGAGCTACTCTCAGGGAGGGGGGCAGGGCTACTCCCAGCAGAGCTACGGGGGCTACGGGCAGAGCTCGGACTCTGCCTACGGCCAGGGGGGCTACAGCTCCTCCTACGGGCAGGGCCAGAGCGGTGAGAGCCCAAAAATCCCCAAAATCCTAAAAAAAACCCCAAAAATCCCCGTCCCTGTATCCCACTGGACCCCAAATCTGCACCTTTGTACCCAAAATCTGCATTTCTGTACCCCAAATCTGCTCTAAAACCCTCAAAACTGACCCTGAAACCTCTAAAACTGAGCCCAAAAATATCCCAAAAATATCCCAAAACTGCCTGGGCAGAGCCAGAGCGGTGAGACCCCAAAAATCCTGAAATTCCTGAAAAAAAATCCCCAAAATCCTAAAAAAATCCCCAAAATCCCTGTCCCTGTATCCCACTGGACCCAAAATCTGCATTTCTGTACCCAAAAATGTCCCAAAACCGACCCTGAATCCTCTAAAACTGAGCCCAGAACCTCTAAAACTGAGCCTAAAACTGCCTGGGCAGGGCCAGAGCTGTGAGACCCCAAAAATCCCAAAAAAACCCCAAAAATCCCTGTCCCTGTATCCCATTAGACCCCAAATCTGCACCTTTGTACCCCAAATCTGCTCTAAAACCCCCCAAACTGATCCAAAACCGACCCTGAAACCTCTAAAACTGAGCCCAAAAATGTCCCAAAAATATCCCAAAACTGCCTGGGCAGGGCCAGAGCGGTGAGACCCCAAAAATCCTGAAATTCCTGAAAAAAAATCCCAAAAATCCCCGTCCCTGTATCCCACTGGACCCAAAATCTGCATTTCTGTACCCAAAAATGTCCCAAAACCGACCCTGAAACCTTTAAAACTGAGCTCAGAACCTCTAAAACTGAGCCTAAAACTGCCTGGACACAGCCAGAGCAGTGAGAGCCCAAAAAACCCCAAAATCCTAAAGAAAACCCCAAAATCCCCGTCCCTGTATCCCACTGGACCCAAAATCTGCACCTTTGTACCCCAAACTGATCCAAAACCGACCCTGAAACCTCCAAAACTGAGCTCAGAATCTCTAAAACTGAGCCTAAAACTGCCTGGACACAGCCAGAGCTGTGAGAGCCCAAAAAACCCAAAAATCCTAAAAAAACCCCCCAAAATCCCCATCCCTGTATCCCACTGGACCCCAAATCTGCATTTCTGTACCCAAAATCTGCATTTCTGTACCCTAAATCTGCATTTCTGTACCCAAAATCTGCTCTAAAACCCCCAAAACTGACCCTGAAACCTCTAAAACTGAGCCCAAAAATATCCCAAAACTGCCTGGGCAGAGCCAGAGCGGTGAGACCCCAAAAATCCCCAAAATCCTAAAAAAATCCCAAAATCCCCGTCCCTGTATCCCACTGGACCCAAAATCTGCATTTCTGTACCCAAAAATGTCCCAAAACCGACCCTGAATCCTCTAAAACTGAGCTCAGAACCTCTAAAATGAGCCCAAAACTGCCTGGGCACAGCCAGAGTGGTAAGACCCCAAAAATCCCCAAAATTCTGAAAAAAATCCCAAAATCCCCGTCCCTGTATCCCACTGGACCCAAAATCTGCACCTTTGTACCCAAAATCTGCATTTCTGTACCCAAAATCTGCTCTAAAACCCCCAAAACTGACCCTGAAACCGCTAAAACTGAGCCCAAAACTATCCCAAAAATATCCCAAAAATATCCTAAAACTGCCTGGGCACAGCCAGAGCGGTGAGACCCCAAAAATCCTGAAATTCCTGAAAAAAAACCCCAAAAACCCAAAAAAATCCCCATCCCTGTATCCCATCGGACCCAAATCTGCACCTTTGTACCCAAAAATGTCCCAAAATCGACCCTGAAACCTCTAAAACTGAGCCCAAAAATGTCCCAAAACTGCCTGGGCAGGGCCAGAGCTGTGAGACCCCAAAAATCCTGAAATTCCTGAAAAAAAAAACCCAAAATCCCCGTCCCTGTATCCCACTGGACCCAAAATCTGCATTTCTGTACCCAAAATCTGCACCTTTGTACCCAAAATTCCCCATATTTATGCCAATATTTTATCCACTTTATGCCAATATTTTATCCCATTTTATCCCAATATTTTATCTCATTTTCCCCCCATTTTATCCCGATATTTTCCCCCATTTTTCCCCACTTTATCCCAATGTTTTATCCCATTTTATCCCNAAAACTGAGCCCAAAACTGATCCCAAAAATATCCCAAAACTGCCTGGGCACAGCCAGAGCAGTGAGACCCCAAAAATCCCCAAATTCCTGAAAAAAAAAACCCAAAATCCCCGTCCCTGTATCCCATTGGACCCCAAAATCTGCACCTTTGTACCCAAAATTCCCGATATTTTATCCCATTTTCCCCATTTTATCTCAATATTTTATCCCCATATTTTATCCCATTTTATTCCATTTTATCCCGATATTTTATCCCATTTTTCCCCATTTTATCCTAATATTTTATCCGATTTTATCCCATTTTTTTTCTCGTTTTATGCCAATATTTTATCCCATTTTATCCCGATATTTTACCCAATTTTTCTCCATTTTATCCCGATATTTTATCCCATTTTTCCCCCTTTTATCCCATTTTATCCCGATATTTATCCCAGTATTTTATCCCACTTTATCCCGATTTTTTATCCCATTTTCCCTCATTTTTTCCAAATATTTTATCCCATTTTTCCCCACTTTATCCCGATATTTTATCCCATTTTTCCCCACTTTATCCCATTTTATCCCATTTTATCCCAATATTTATTCCGATATTTTATCCCAATATTTTATCCCATTTCCCCCCATTTTATCCCGATATTTATCCCAGTATTTTATCCCATTTTATCCCGATTTTTTATCCCATTTTCCCTCATTTTTTCCAAATATTTTATCCCATTTTTCCCCACTTTATCCCAATATTTTATCCCATTTTATCCCGATATTTTATCCCATTTTTCCTCCTTTTATCCCGATATTTTATCCCATTTTATCCCGATATTTATCCCATTTTATCCCGATATTTTATCCCATTTTTCCCCCTTTTATCCCATTTTATCCCGATATTTATCCCAGTATTTTATCCCATTTTATCCCGATTTTTTATCCCATTTTCCCTCACTTTTTCCAAATATTTTATCCCATTTTTCCCCATTTTATCCCAATATTTTATCCCATTTTATCCCGATATTTTATCCCATTTTTCCCCCTTTTATCCCGATATTTTATCCCACTTTATCCCGATATTTTATCGTATTTTATCCCGATATTTTATCCCATTTTTCTCCATTTTATCCCGATATTTTATCCCATTTTATCCCAATATTTATCCCGATATTTTATCCCATTTTATCCCGATATTTATCCCGATATTTTATCCCATTTTATCCCAATATTTTATCCCATTTCCCCCCATTTTATCCCGATATTTATCCCAGTATTTTATCCCATTTTATCCCGATTTTTTATCTCATTTCCCTCATTTTTTCCAAATATTTTATCCCATTTTTCCCCACTTTATCCCGATATTTTATCCCATTTTTCCCCATTTTTCCCCACTTTATCCCAATATTTTATCCCACTTTATCCCGATATTTTATCCCATTTTTCCCCCATTTTATCCCGATATTTATCCCACTCTATCCCGATATTTATCCCAATTTTATCCCGTTATTTTTATCCCATTCCCTCATTTTTTTCCCGTTTTTCCCCCAGGTTACTCGGCCCCTGCAGCTCCTCCCTCCTACGGCTCCGGCGGCTTCGGCTCCAGCCAGAGCTCCCAGGGCAGCTACGGCCAAACCTCCTCCTACCCGGGCTATTCACAGCCCCCCGCGGCTGCCTCGGCCTCTGGAAGGTGATTAATGACTCATTAATGACTAATTAATAATTAATTTATCGTTATTGTAAACATCGATCCCAACCCGGTCACCCCCAGCCCCATCCCAGTCACTGCAGTGACCCCAAACCTCCTCCTACCCTGGGTATTCACAGCCCCCCGCGGCTGCCTCGGCCTCTGGAAGGTGATTAATGACTCATTAATGACTCATTAATAACTAATTAATAATTTATTGTGATTGTCAGCATCGTTTTAGGGTGGAATTCCCGGGTTTTTGGTGAAACTCCCTGATTTTCGGGTAGAATTTTCAGATTTTTCTGGTGAAATTCCACGGATTTTTGGGGTGAAATCCCCGGATTTTTGTGTCAAATTCCCAGATTTTTGAGGTGAAATTCCCAGATT